ACTATCGAATACGGCTTATATACTATAGTATAGTATAGTATAATATATATATATATATATATATATATATATATATATACTATATATACAACTTAAGATATATAAACAATATTCGATATACTATATATACATCTTAAGATATACTATATATACTATACTATATATACATCTTAAGATATACTATATATACTAGGCCCGGGCTCGCGAAGCCCACTTTGGACCGGGCCCGGCCCACTTGCCACCCCTATAATGGAGCTATGAAAATTTTCGGAACTGGATTCTGACTCCGGTATCAAAAAGTCAACTCTCTGGTCAAACTTCCAAACTTAAATTCCTATTTTAGCCATTTCAAGCCTAATTTAACTATGGACTTCCAAATAAAATTCCGAACACGCTCCTAAGTCCAAAATCACCATACGGAGCTGTTGGAATCATTAAAATTCTATTCCGGGGTCGTTTTCTCAAAATGTTGACCGAAGTCAAACTTAGCATTTTAATGCCAACTTAAGGAACCACGTGTTCCGATTTCAACCCGAACACTTCCAAAACTCAAACCAACCATTCTCGCAAGTCATAAATTTATAAAAGTACATACGGGGAGTTTTATTTAGGGGAACAAGGTTCTAAAAGTCAAAATAACCGGTTGGGTCATTACACCTGTATTCCAAAAAAATATTTGTAGGTAATCACGCATGTGTAAAAAAGAAATATAGTTATAGAAAATAGACGAAGGTTCATTCTATTTGTAATTAATATTCAGAAGTCCATGTTTTTGGTTTATTATTTTTTTCATCGTTTCATAATATATTATATTATAACATATTGTATTGTATTTATGAATACAACATTTGAATTAATTGTATTATTTGTTGAGATTTATAATATATTTAAGTTTAATTTGACTTTGATATACCGGCAAGTTTGATAAAATACCCTTAATTACTATAATTATTGATTTTAATAATAATTACTAATAAAATAATTTAAGACAAATTATTTGTCCTTATTGATCACCAGCTATGCTTGTACATGTATTAAGTTAATAAATTCATGCAATTCTTAATGAAATTAAACAAGAATAAGATAATAACAAAAATAACTTATTTTTCTTGTTGAGTATTTCATGGCACCACTTTTCTTGAATGAAAATTTCCGCCCTGATGTTTTATCAGTTTTTAGTATTTTAAAATTTAATTACAGAATCGGCTGCTAATAAATACGGTCATGTATTGTCTTAGAAATGTGCTTTTGAAATAATATGTGAAGTTTCATTTTCTTCTATCTTTTCCTGGCATTTGTCTTTCATTTATTTAAATTGTTATTATTGAATTCTTTATCTTCATCATATTACAGGCTTGTTCTTATTTTTATTGGGTTGTTTTACTGCTAATAATATAATTGTATTTTAATAAAATAAGTGAATTTAGTAGTACTCAAGCCGAACTTGAAATAAGTTGTTTTACGTTATTTTATTTATTACCATGTAGTACTTTCTATTTTTTACTTTAGTCTTTATAGTGTAGTTTCATTTATGGAGCCTTCCCTAAGCTTCCAGCTTCTGCTATCCATACTTTTACCAAACCTTGCATCAGATAACTTTAAGGAGGAGCTCGTTAATCAATCTTTTAAGCTATTCTAGGCGATTATATTATTGGTATCTAAGTAGTATCTTATTTGGTATTTGTATTTTCAATTAATGGCTATAAATTTGGAGACATAACTTTAATTGTGCCTATTCCATGTGTGTGCTACATTTTGAACGTTTCTACTCTTATAAAAAAGACTTGAAATAATTAATAGCGCAAGTTCTAACGGAATACCAATAATTAGTGTACTATTGGAGCAAACAAAATTTGCAAAATGTTATAACATGTGCCACGAGAATCATGTTCACCGTATATTTTTAGATATGCTCAAAAGATAGTGAACCACAAACTTACCTATACAAAGAATTTCTAAAGTATTATGTTTGGACGCTCAAAGCAAGAAATGGACAAAAAGAAAAAGCAACGAAGAAAAATCCCCAAGAATTCTAAAACTAAAGGAAACAAAAACCAAAAAGGGAAAAAAAACCTTGTAAGGCAAGAATCTCAAATAGTGTAAATTCTAAACCTAAAAGAAAACGCATGGCAGTTTAAAACTGTCAAGTAGATTAATAAAATATTCTAGTGATATGAGTTAGAGTGCCTAACCAATTTTATGTGACGAATGCAACGATTCAAAACAACCTATATACCATTCGTATATGAGTCAATATTAAACCAATGATCATATATGAGATATTGTAAACAAAAATCATAATTGATAAATATTCAATAATAAAGCACGAACGACCATTATTAAGAATACAGTATATGATAGAAAATTTACCTTAAATCACAAATAAATTTATTTATGCAGACATCAATACTATGAACAGTTTATGATAAAGAATGTAGGATAGTGACTTCTTTTATAGAAGTGTTTAATTCCTCCTTATTCTAATCTGTTTTGGTTCTAAACTTTTTTAACATAAACAAAGTAAAGACACAACGTTACCATAAACTACGGTATACATTGAATCCTAAACCTACACAAAAGAGACAATAGAAATTGCATCCTAAACAAACACAAAAAGGAAAATGAAAAAAAGACTTACCGTAATTATAAAGTAAGAATCTAAGGAATCCTAAAACAAAATAAACAAATATCACGAAAAACAAATCCAAGAATCCTAAAATTAAAGTAAACAAAAACCAACAAAAAAAAAAATCCAAGAACCGTAAAACTATAGGAAACAAAAACAAAAGAGAAAAAAACTGCAAGAATGTCAAACAATGTAAATTCTAAAGAATTCTAAACCTAAAAGAAAGCACATGTTAGTTTTAATTTTGCTAAAAAATAATAATTAATAATTACAATTACAAGTACATCCAACATATAATGCACTTATGAAGGATAAAAAAAGCGAATAATATTTCGATAAGGCCTACGCATTTTTAATATAGTATAGATATAAATATAGATAGGATACATTTACAGTATAAGAATATTTATAAATTAAGTCATTTATAAAAGTAACTATAAATAAATTTTAATTAATAAACTTGTAAAAATGATAGCTAACTGATTATTATAGGTTAAAACTACATCAATAGTGTAAAAAATCTCTACACTGGTAATGCATATAATTTAAATCTTATATGCATCATGGCCAAAAAATATGATCTCTTAAACAACCTTTTGGCAACTGAATATACGTCAGGGGCAATATCTTCTTTCTAAATTAGACAAAAAGGAATATAAAAATGATGATAATTTAGCAAAATATCCCCCAAAAAAGAAGGTAATACATGTCATCTCCTTTCCCATTCGCAAACAGAAAAATACAGTGCAGGAAGGGAATATAATGGAAATTGCATTCAAACCTCGCAAATATCAACTGTTAATTTCACGCAGATGGAAGCCCACAAAGATAACTAGGTAAGAAGGTAGGTAGTTACTAGTTACTAGGCTGGTGGCTATACAGTAAATGGAGCAATACTAGTATTTACTAGGAGTAACTAATTCTATCTAGACGAACAGATTGCTCTCATTGCGGACCAAAAATTCCGATCGGTATGATCTTTTATCGGCAGACGCAAATCTCCTCAAGCTAAAATAGCGCAACTGTTCTAGTTTCTCCATTGCTAGTCATCCATGTGTGCCCTGTTTATCACCGCCACATTAACACAATTTAGTACCAGTAACTACAATAACAATAAATGGATATCAAAAACCAAGAACAATGATAAATATACAAATGACTGCTAAAAAGATCTACCTAAAATTATTTTAAAGGATAAAGTTAAATACATTGAGTGGAAAGATTTTTCTTTGACACTATCATTGAACTTTATCACAAGTTGGTTAATATTTTTACCAGATTACTAACTAAAATTATGTAACAAATTTATCTATGGTTGTGTATAAGATTAAACTCTATTAAAAACAATATGAGTCTAAGGTTATTCTGAGAGTTGGTCAAAGTCAAACTGATAGTCAATCCATAAGTGAGGAAGTGGATAAGAGATCTCAAAATTCAAAGAAAGCAAAAGAACAACTAACAGGGGAGTGAAATAGACGACGTTACTAAATCTTCCGGTTAATTAGGATATACGGAAAGATTGAAGTGCTAAGTAAAATCAAATTTACTAATCGACGTAATCAAATTTGAGATAACAAAAGTTTGATCATAGTAAAAGGTAGTAGTAGAGTCAATACAAGCTTATAAAAAATGATATGGTAGGAGAAGTACACTTACTAAGGACTTGTTCAGCAGAGAATCTTCTAGAAACGTCTTTAGAGAGCATTCTCCGAAGCAAATCCTTCGCAGCCGGCGACACCGACTGAAAGATCCTAGTCGGAAATCTAAGGTTCGCTCTGAGAACAGCCTCGAAGATCTCCGTAGCCGATTCCCCATAAAAAGGCGGGATTCCGGCAAGCATTATATACATAATAACACCAGCACTCCAAATATCAACCTTCTCACTGTAGTTCCTACCAGCTAAAACCTCCGGCGCCACGTAATACGGCGTTCCAACCACGCCGCTCATCAGCTGCCCCTCACGGAACCACTCAGCCGAGCCAAAATCAGCCAATTTCAGCTCGTTTGAGTTGTTGTACAAAATGTTATCCGGTTTGATGTCCCTGTGAGCAATGCCGAGCCGGTGACAGTGCGCTATTGCCTTCATCAGTGGTACCTATACATACATTATGCAGAAAATTTATCAGTAATTACGAAAAACTAAAATAAAAAAGCCGATTATGAATTCTATTTACTTTCTCCTCCAATTTTCGAAAATTCAACAAGGTGCTGCTTCGTAGATCGTTCCTGATTCAAGCCATTATACGAAGCAAAAGTAAAATTTCCCCTTTTTGATCAGCAACGAGTGAGATTGTGGTGATCTGGAAGAGTACCATAACATCAACGGCTTCAGACTCGGAGAAAACCGGTTGGCTACTGAGGCGTCGGAACAAATCGCCAGAGTTGCAGAGCTCTAAAACCATATCGAGGTGAGTATCTTCCTCGTAGACATCGAAGAGACGAACAATGTAAGGATTCGGCGAAAGCAAGTGCATGATTTTAGCTTCGTTGTAAAGGCATTGCCGGTCGATGGAGTCATCGGCGATGAGGCGCTTGTCGATGGACTTGACGGCGAATAGATCGCCGGTCGCCGCCGAGTAACACTTGTAAACGGCGCCGAATCGTCCCCTTCCTAACTCCTCGCTCACACGATAATTTCGCTTTAGTGACTCGCTCATTCCGTTTATTTTGTTTTTTACTTATTTTTGGACTAGTATTTTTTCGTTCATAGGGGTTGGTTTTATAGAAGAGAGGGTGTAGGAATTTTATGGGAGAATATTCGGTGGCGGGGTTTGGCCAATGAGATGCAGCCATTTGGAGATTTTTAACGGATTTGGAAGACGGCGTTAACTCTCAAGGAAGATTATAATCTTAACGGAAGATTAATAGTATCATTGATTTCCTATCTTTTAGGCACACAATTCGTTCTAACAACTTACTTATCTTCCTTATAACCAATTTATACTTACTCTAAACAGTTACTTAGCTTTAGATAACTAGTAGCTGAAAAATCGTTGCACTAAAATTATACTCACGACGGTATACATAATATGTTAATGATACTCTAGTTATCTTCATAGAAAAATAAAGGTGTTTAACTTAAGCAGTCAAAGAAATTCACAAATTTTTTTTTTGAAAAGGTGGAGAAGATAATTTGAAAGGATGTAAGAGGAAAGGAAAATAAATCATTTTCAAAATTATTGTGAAAGATTACACTGAATTAATTAACACGAACTGATTATTCATAAATCATAATACGACCTCAAGTTTTATTCTTATTCTTATTATTTTAACTATTTCAACATAGTATTTATAACAATTTTTGTGATTTAGAAAATATTTCTTGAAAAGATTCTGCTAATCACAAAAGGCAATTTAAAGTAAATAGCAATTAAGGATATGAAAATTTTTCTATTAACTCGCTGTCTGTGCTAGTAAATATTTAAATCTGTCCTTTTACGAGAAGAGAATTTATTGTTACCCTTAATTAGCCAAAGAAAAGGTAAAGATAATAGGTGAACGGTCGTTAGCTGAAAGCAAAAAATTACTATAGTACTATAGGGTATAGGAAAAAGTAGGAAAAGCCCTAAGAGTTGGCGATAATCACGGAACTACGAAATTTGAAATTCCGTACAGATCGGGTATGACTTTGATTACGTCCCGTCGTAAGGATTAAGGTATATCCAGAAGACTGTTGGGGTCCAACTTCCTTGTGGTCTGTGGACTTGAGGTTTACTTGTTTGTTTTGTTCTATATTTTTGGTGATAATATTACTGTTGACAACATAAAATAAAATTCTTTTATCGTAATTTTTTGAAATTATTTTAAATATGTGAAAGTATTAACTATTGTAACCTTTTATATTATTTCGAAATATGTAAATCTTATTTTAAGAAAAACTGAAATTTATAACTGGATTCACATTGTGGCATTTCTTCTAAGTAAGTACTGAATTTAATTTGCTGCAAAACTTATCCAAAATTTTGAAATTTTTAACCAAATACAATTAGAGAAAAGCTTTTAAATTTTGGAAAAAACTGAAAAGACCACTAGAGTAGTTTTTTCGCAAAAACTAAAAAAGTTTTCGGGCTAAGCAAAGGGCAGAGTTTTAAGTCAGACTGTCAAACCATAAAATAAAAAGTTACTCAAAACTCCTCTGGCGCATCTTCTCGCCTGCACAAGCAAGCAAATTAGCTCTCTCATTCTCTTATTATGTTGGTAGGTCGTTTGAAAAAAATAAAATTAATTTTTTTCATCACATATATTTGAAGCAAACGTCTTTGATCCTCGTACTTCAAACCTCAAGTAAAATAGAACGAAAGAGTAGTATTTAAGTTCGTCAAATGTGAGACTATTGCACTTTTTGTCATTTGCCAGTGCAAATACTTGAAGTGGGCTTGTTGGCCTGTATGTGGTCCACATGAGTTTTATGTGGCGCATTGATTTGAACCCTTTCAGAAGTTATAAAGCCAAAACCAGAGTCTCGTTAGCCTTTGATTACTCTCAACGGTTAGCAAAAGGAGGAGTTTGAATGCTATTGGGGCACAAAAGTTACTTTGGTAGTAAAATGTGATTTGGTTTCCCACAACTGTTAGTTCATTGAATGTATCTTAATCTTAAACCACCAATTATTATAATGCTAATAACCCCATAAATTGCTTTATTTAATAATATTAAAACGTTCAGTCTCAAAGAAATATATAAGAAAATATTGCAAACATTGGGTGGAGTAAGTTTTCTAGCATATATGGATAGGACACCAAAGCAAATTCCGAGAATAAAATAATATTCATGAATTTTTTGTGTCTTATACGATAAGAGGAAAAAAATTCAAAAGAAGCAACATTGAAAGTGAAAGTTCCTCTTCTTTTTCCCCCCTGCTTCTTTTTGTCTTTGTGAGTATAGTAGAAAGATCACTTATCACTTTGGGGTCGTCTATAGGAATGTATTAAGTAAAATAATATACGTATTACTTTTGGTATTATTAATTCGTTGTTTAGTAGTATTTTTCAACATATGAATAATGTTATATACTTTATTCGGTGCTATTCATATACATAATAAACCATAGCATTAGCACTACTATAATTTTAATACATAAATATGCACATATGTATAAAGACAAAATACCCTTTCAAAATCTTTTCTAAATCCTTTCCTACGTTTTTTAGGGTATTGTAAACAAATGATTTTTCTTAAAAAAATTATACANCACACACCTGCTTCTTTTTGTCTTTGTGAGTATAGTGGAAAGATCACTTATCATTTTGGGGTCGTCTGAATGGATGTATTAAGTAAAATAATATATGCATTACTTTTTGTATTATTAATTCCTGGTAGTATTTTTTAACATATGAATAATGTTCTACACTCTATTTAGTACTATTTATATACATAACAAACAATAGCATTACCAATACCAGAATTTTATAAAGACAGAATGCCCTTTCAAAACCTTTTCTAAATCCTTTCCTACGTTTTTGGAGGGTTTTGTAAACAAATGATTTTTAAACAAAAAATTATACAATGCATGCTTATTTTAATACATCAAACCAAACAATCGAAAACTAAACAATCGACGAGAAATAATCTCAGTATAATTAATTCAGGTTTAACTAATTCCAGCATAACTAATCTCAACATTACTACTACTATACCATATTCAGTACTATTCTTATATATCCCATACCAAACGACCCTTGTGTATATGGACAACTGCATATGGAATTTGTCTCACTCACAAAACTCTGAGATTCCAATATGAACTTTGTTTTCTGAGAATATGAAAATACTTCTACTATTAGTCCATCATTTAGCAATGAAAGGTTAAACTATAAGTCAGAATAAGTTCCTTACTGTCGGTAGTTCCTATTTGCAAGATAAAAGGATAATATATCTAGGCTCTAAATGATCAGAACACTATTAAAACGTAAAGAAAATATGGCATAACAAAATATAAATTACTTTAATGTATAAGTTTTCGACTTTTCTATCCCTATGTGATATGCAGCCAATATATCTCACAGCAAAAGCAATTGATAAGTCATTCTACTAATATTTGAATGGTCCGAAGACCCTATAGAGCATTCAATCTCTTCAAAATCAAAATTGGACCATTTAAACAAACTGTAATAGGTGCCATCAACCACAAATTTTGTGTTCATTGGATATTAACAATTGGAGAAAGTTCTTTTGAGTGCCTTTTGGGAGAAGCAAAGGGTTTAAACGTTTAGCTTATTTTCGTATTAAGAAAAGGATTTAGGTTGAAGTACAACGTGAGGTACAAAAGCAAGGACAATGACACGGAAAAAGCAGATTTCGACAACTTTGGCTTAGCAAAGACAACAGTCACATGTGCAACAAGATCAATTGTTGGACCAGTACTAGATTGTATACTCCAGTTTAAAATTAAAAGATTCAAAAATTTTTAAAGATAAGAATGATGTCATTCTTTTGGTCAAAAAGAATGTCATACAAAAAGGTGAAAGCACCGTTAGAAAATTTGCCCCTTCCATTATTTTTTAACTTGGTTTTGTTAGCGAGACTAAAGGTGCTCCACTTTAGCAAAGTCAAGGGATTAAAGATGCTCTCGGTTATATTTGAAAGACAAAAATGAACCTACTACCATAGATAAGGGACAATTTGAGTCAAAAACCCTACTTTAGGGTTCAATTGATAGTTTAATAATTCATCAGTTTAAAAAGTAATTGAAGACAAACAGCTAACTCAACAGAAGGTTGAACCACTAGAAGAGAAACATAAGAATCAAAGAGAACAGAGATTCAAGACATTTAACACAAAGGGTAACCTTTTTTCCCTGTATCAGACTGCAGCAGGAAAGATCCCTGAATAGACTAAAAGGGTTAGAAAATCTTTTGTTGGTGAACCATAGAGCTCGCCTCACTGGATTGGTTTATATTATACATGACAAATCAAAATTATTACAGATTTCCCGATTCGAATCTTAGGAATGCATATTCTTCTCTACTGCAATGCTTCCAAACCCGAGCCTCCATCTACATGTGATGGAGCTAAGAGAGGTAGTTGACGTTGATACTGGATTTGTTCATCTCATCCAATTTTCCCAAGAAATGACTGCAACGAAGTTTAGATAATCATTGTTAAAGTGGCTTTATGAGGCACAATCACATCAGTGTCATCGAGTGACCGTCAACTGTGTTAAATACCTTAATTTTACAAGCAACTACACAATAAAACAGATGCAACATCTATATAATCGCCTTGACTGAATTGCACATCTGAGATCATGAGACGGCTTGATATAGTAATTATATTCCCTAAGTAGCCTACACAATGATCTTTTGATGCCTAGAGACATTGACCAAATGCGGCAAAAATACAATTCTCTTACCCATCCAATAAGGAAACAGGGAAAGAACAAAGATCCAGGAGTGACGTTCTTGCATTATGACTTCAAGGGACACATTATTCTCTTGAATACTGATCAAAATTTGATGGTGGTGAAAAATAATAAAACACCTTTTACTTTATTGATGATTCGTGTATGGGAGTCAAAACAACAAAAGCAGGCTATAAGTTCACATTTGAAATTTCTCCTGTTAAAGAATTATTGAAATTAGTCCGAATGGATTTCAGATAGTTTGTCTATTGAAATTCTAACCCCTATTTTTATTTCTTCCGAAAGAGAGACTACAGAAGGAACTGAGAAAAATGGGTTCTACAAACTTTATCTAGCGCTTGAAAATAGAGGACCGAAATTTCCTGGGCACTTTTACTAAAAATGCTAACCCTTTGACTTATGCACTTGCAATAGATGGTGGGTTGTCTAATAACTGTTAAATAAATCATGCATACCAATAGGATCGACAAGTAAAAGTTGCCTCTTGCAGATATAGGTTTACCTTTGATTTTGCAGGAGTTGCATTTTTAGCAGTAGTAGTGCTCCCAAATCCAAACTTTGGCTTCTTCTCTGCGGGCTTTAATATCTGAAAAGAACACATCAGGGTCTCATCCACACTCATCATAGCACCAGCATTGTCAAACTCTCCACAATAATTAGGGGCTGAGAAAATCGTCACAAGTTGTCTATCAGCAAAAAATTCATATCCATCTTCCACAACCTGCAGTTACGCACATAGCCAGTAAGATTAAAGAAACAAAATTCCAGAAAACTTTATAAGTAATATCTAATTCAAACCTGGTGGGCACGACAAACAAGATCAAGATCTAGCTTCTGAAGAAACTCTGTGACCTTATCAGGGCCAAAGGTATAAGAAACTCCCCGGTCATTCATTCCCCACCCTTTAACTTCTTTACTAGGATCTGACCAGAGAAGATCACAGAGCAACCCAGTTTCAGGAACATCAGTTGGTCGTTGAAGGTTCCTTATCTGATCCAAATGGTTAAGATCAGGAGAGAGTCCACCATGCATGCACAATATCTTTTCATCAATCAGAGCTGCCACAGGGAGACAGTTAAAACAATCTGTGAATACTTTCCATAGACGAACATTGAACCTTCGTTTGCACTCATCATAGAATCCATATATACGATTCACGGAAGCACATTCATGGTTTCCCCTCAAAAGAAAAAAGTTCTCAGGGTACTTTATTTTATATGCAAGAAGAAGGCATATCGTTTCCAGACTTTGCTTCCCCCTATCAACATAATCACCCAAGAACAGGTAATTGGATTTTGGAGGTAATCCACCATATTCAAACAGCCTCAGTAGATCTGAATATTGACCATGGATATCCCCTGACCACATAATGCAAAGGAAAAATTAGCTAAAGCAAGTGTTTACCAAAAACATACTTCTTTTTTTTTTCTTTTGTGGG